ACTTCTGGTTATTTAGATGCCGCAGCAGGGTTGTGCCGCCGCGAAGTTTATTGTTACCGGCGTATCTTTAATTTACTTGTAGGGTTTGATCCGTCCTCGGCGCTTGTTCCGGCGCCGGTGACCGTGCAGGGAGGGTGATCTGCCGCGAGAGGGCGCGGCATACCCACGGACGCGCGGGGCCTCCCCGAAGGCTGTCCCAAATACAGACGTTTGTGCACGGGAGGATGTAGGCTAGGACAGGCAGCGGATCTTTTTGACAGTTCTCTAATAATGGAAGTTTTTCCAGTCCTTGCTCGGTGCAGAACGGTAATGGTCGTGCATCAGCTTGGAGGATGCTCTTGGGCTATTCCTTGGGAGAGGCAGGGAAAAAGCAGATTGTGAACGAGAAGCAGGTTAGAAATAGCAAACTTTATCTCCAGGTCTGTTGGGAGAAAGATAATGAATCTGGATTAGGAAAAGAGAAAATTTCCAGAGAAATAAATGTGGTATTGATTTCCCGGATGGACTTTGTGTCTGTCAAAGTACGTTGTTAATCTGAATTTGTTGTTCTGACACCAAAACTGGCACAAGGAAATATGTCAGATACTTGGTACTGTTGCTATAACACACAATACTAAATTCTGTTAGTTCTGTCAATGTTGGCGGTGTCTTAGGAGGGAAGAACCACCAGATTCCCCTTAAAATTGTGCTTGCTGTCAGGCGGATCGCTAGGAGGGCACCTGCAGTGCAACTGAACCAGCTAACCTGTGGCTCCGTTGCCGTTTGCCACATCTGCGCCCAGATGTGTTAAGTGTCGGCAGGCTAACGTGCGCTGCTCACCTCTTCTCTTCCCCGTGACGTCGGGGCCTGGAGGGCCTCGCCTGCCTGCCCGAGGGATCCCTGCCGAGGCCGGTGGAAGTTTGTGCAGATCGGTGGTGAGAAAAACAGTGACCCTTTGCCAGCGGAACTGGTTTTGTACTGCAAACGCTGGGACTCTCCTAGTGAAATGGGAACATGTATGGCGCTCGGTTTAGTTCAGATGATGAACCCATATTTTTAAGGTTCAATAGAATATGTTTTCAACGCTAATTTTTCTTTTTTGTTTTAATTACTATTTAATTTTTAAAGGCCGGGTACCGTGGCTCTCCGTGAAATCAGGCGCTACCAAAAGTCTACCGAACTTTTGATCCGCAAACTTCCCTTCCAGCGCCTGGTGCGTGAAATTGCTCAGGACTTCAAAACAGATCTGCGCTTCCAGAGCGCTGCCATCGGCGCTTTGCAGGTGAGCGTGACCCGGGGGAGGCGGGGTCCCGGGGGAAGGCTGCCTGTCAGTAGGCAGGGGTCAGTGCTGTCACAGCGAGGCACCCCCAAAAGCCCCCCAAGACCTGCAGGCTGAAGGTATGGGGAGGGCTCCGCCTCCTGCACCCATTGGCCAGGCTGTTTCTAGGGTTAGCCCCAGCTCCGCCTGATTGGTGGGCTGCCGCTGTGGGCGTGGCTCCTCCTGGGAGGGGCTCACGTGGGGGAATGCCTCCCTCAGCCTTCCCTTGCTCAGGGTGGACCTGGTGATGCCCTATAGATACCATAGGCTAAAGTAACGCAGTGACAGGTCAGCAGCTCCTTACACAGTCTGTAAATGTGTGTTGGGGGGGTGTGTGTTTTGCTTTCTTTTGGTTTATTTTTTTGTTGTTTTGGTTTTGTTTTTTTAATAGCCCCCACCCCTCAGGCAGTTGCACTGGACAAAACAGCGCATCTTTCTAAGACACTTAAGATAAATCTGTTTCCTCTATCCTTGAGCTTTGTTAGAGGCTTTGCCTTTGCAAGCTACGCAGAGGGAAGCGTGGTGTAAAGCATGTTCTAGTGTGTCCAAATGGAGGTCTTGATACCCTCAAATGCTCTTTAAAGAAAACCGACTTGATAAGCCACATCTAAACGTGATTAGAGAAATAAGTGCCTTTGTATGATATAGTTAATGCTAAACACATTTTTTTTTTAACATATTAGTTTAATATCTTAAGTATTGAGGGTGAAATACCAATTGTTTTTTCTGGCCCAAATTCCTGCATCTAAGTTAGGTCCCCTCCAAGACTCTGTTCTTATCATAGGAGCATTTCCCCCTCGTGATAGGAAGACACTCCTGATCAAAGATAGGTCTTTACTATTCTTTTTAGCTGTTGAGAGATTGTTTCAGAACCTGCCTGTAATTGTAGAATATCTGATATGCAGGGAAAATGGTCTTTTTCTAGTTAATGACTTCCACATGATAAGGCCCAAGACGTTTACCATGAGATCCTATAAACTTGAGCACATGCTTAGCTTCAAAAGGTGGCTGCATGCATTTGCAAAGTTGCTGCTTTTGCATTTAGTTGTTGTTCTGTCTTCACTGCTGTGAGTGGATGTGGTGGTTCTTTCATCAGGAACTGCTTATTAAAATGTAGTCAGTAGTTAATACATTTTCTGAAGGCTGGTTTGAATGTTCCTGGTTTTGCATTAAGGAGTTGTTGATATAGAACTTGTTCATGTACTATTCCTAGTGCTTCCTGCTTACATATTTGGAGGGGGAAAAAAAAAAAAAAGGACAAAACCCAAACCAAAACAACCAACTTTTAACCCCTTTAGTACTGTGTTGTTTGTGCCAGCATGGCATATTTGGTCATGTGTCTTACCTCATGTAGTGATTTAGCAAAACTATGTTAAGGGAACTTACGGTACCCATATCCTACCGCATACAATCCTAGTAATACTACAGTCCTCATCTGCTGTAGTAAATATTTTTCTTTCTTCATATTAGATAATTTGTGTTTTTAAGCAGGAATTTTGAACCTAGTAAGTTGATTTTAGCGGTTCCTGGTAATGAAGTGATTCACACAAAGCTGTTCTCTTGCATATATTCTACAAAGGGGGACCTCAGCCTCCTTTCTCTAAGTGAGCCCCATTATTCTTGCCTTCTCACCCCAAGCATGTGCTGTGTCCTGGTCTGCATGCTGGTCTGGTGTTGGCATGCTGAGATGCTTCCCAGGAGATTGTTAGGTGTTAGAATTCTGTATCAACTCAAAAATACGTAAATGGTTACCGTTGCTGTGCTGGTCTTAATAGCAGCTGACTTAATGTGACCCAGAAGCATAATCAGGTCCAACAGAGCACGTTTCTAACCCAGAATCCTGTCTGCAGTGGTTCAGTAACAGACAACACTGTGGTCAGAGTTGTAGCTTTCCCAGGATAGGGCTTTCCTTTGCACTCTCAAATGCTGACCCTGTAATTCTCACAGGTGTGAGATGAGAACCTTCTGTGATCGGGGGGGCTGTGGTGTGTGCCCCAAATAGTCATGGTGTGCTTGGGCAGGAAGAAAGTATAGGAATAGGACAAGCGTCTGATGGTAATTCTCAGGCTGCTGTCCCGTTTTTGGCGATTCAAGTTGTTCCTGAGTCAAAGGTGGTGTCGTCTTATATCTAATAATTCTCAGTACTTTTTTTTTTTCCTGCTAATTTTTGACTTTTGAATTAAGTCACCTCTTCAGCATCCTATGGCAAGGAGCTGTGTGCCCCAACTGTGTGCTATGAAGGAATACCTGCTCCTCTCTTCCCTAGCACCTGCCAATTTCACCTGATGCTCAGTAGCTCCTACTGTGGAAGAGGCAGCAGACAAGTCACTCAGATAGTGTAACCCACCTTTAAAAAGAGAAGTTCCTAAACAAACTAACCTTTTGATAAGATAACCCCTTATCTTGTGAGAATCCCTTTAGGAATATTGCTTCAGTTGTGTTCTGGAGGATGTCTTCACTAAGTGGCAGTGGTATGCAACGTTGACATAGAATATTATTTGGTGGTTTGTAAGAAAACGGTGGTTTTTATTTTTTGAGAATCTAAAATTTTTGTTGTTTGTGAGTGTTAAAGATAGAAGCCTAAACTTAATGCCATGTTACATTGTACTTGGAATTATTTTTTCCTAGTGCTTAGAGAGTGACAGTGTTCTTAACTCTTTTCTCCTACAATAGGAGGCAAGTGAAGCCTACTTGGTTGGCCTGTTTGAAGATACCAACCTGTGTGCTATCCATGCCAAACGTGTCACAATCATGCCAAAAGATATCCAGCTAGCACGCCGCATACGTGGAGAGCGTGCCTAAACTTCACTATGATGGGTTTGTCATTCTCGAAGCAAAATCTTCTTCCTGTTATTGGTAGTAATGAACGTTAGATATTTTTTCCATGGGGTTAAAAGGTACCTAAGTATATGGTTGCAAATGGAAAAATAGGGGACAGAATTGGGTATTGGCAAGTTTTTTTCCATTTTCATTTGTGTGTGGATTTTTAATATAAACAAGGGGGCATAAAACATCAATGCGGTCAAAAAAAAAAAATGTTTCGGTGAACAAGTTTCAACAATTCAACTTTATAAGAAAAATTATAAATAAACCTGTCAAATTTTTCTGGACAATGCCAGCATTTGGATTTTTTTAAACAAGTAAATTTCTTATCAATGGCAACTAAATGGTGTTTGTAGCATTTTTATCATACAGTAGATTCCATCCATTCACTATACTTTTCTAACTGAGTTGTCCTACATGCAAGTACATGTTTTTAATGTTGTCTGTCTTCTGTGCTGTTCCTGTAAGTTTGCTATTAAAATACATTAAATGATGCCTGCTTTAAGTCTTGATTTTTAAATATTACATGTGGGTTATATTTGATTAAAAAAAAAAAATCAGCCTTCCCTTCCCTTTCTCTCTTCAATATGTGGCCTAAATACTTAGAGCAGATCTAGGAAACACTGGGGATACTACCATGGCTGAAGTAGTGTATATCTGAGGGGTTTTTTAAAGAGTGTAAAATTTCTGTCTGCTCCATGTGAAAGCAAATGTGGTAAGTATATTACCGGGTGGAGCCTGGAGCTGGACTGAGCTACAGTGCTAAGAAAAAGCAGTTTTGTTGCTGTTTAGGTTTCTTTCTTACTCAATTTAGTGCTGAATTTGGAAGCGTTTCTGATTTTCATGGTTTGTTACTATGGTGTAAATGATGGGGTGTGGTGGTTTGGGGGTTTTTTTGGTGTGTTTTGGGGTTTGGTTGCCTTTTTTCCTTTTTTTTTTTTTTTTTTTTTTAAAAAAAAAAACCTTTTGCACTCTGGTTTCTCACTTTGTAGGTGTTCACTTTTTGGTTGACTACCTTTCTGTTTCCGTCACGCCCTCTAGCATGTTTGAGAGCTTAGTCCCTGTGTGATTAGTTTCAGTATGTACACTCCAATCAAAAAGACATTTTTGTACTGGTTTTGTTAGTTACGATACTTCACAGAAGCAGTACTTAGTCAGGAGCACACATTTGAAACTTAGGTTTGTTTTTTTATATTCTTCCTCCTTCCCCCCCACCTACTGCTGATGAAAGTTCCTGTGAAGAAATTTGCTGATGAAATTATGTTCTATAAAAACTTGGTTTTAATTCTTCACCTGAAACTTGGTTAAGTATTCTGATGGACCAGTCTGGAAATGAGTTACCTGGTGTACTTTTTGATAGCTCTTGCAGATAATGAAATAAGTTACAGAGAAGAAAACAGGTAGGCAGTGAATAGATTTCACCTCTATGTTAAGACCCCTACAGAGCTTATTTGCTGCTAACTTCTTTCAAGAGGTTAAAACACTAATGAATTTGAAGATTTACAAAGAGGATTAATAGAGATGTATTATCTGCTTTGGTATCTTGAACAGAGAGCCAAAAATTACAGAATAAATCACATTATTCATAACTTGCTCAGCTCTAGTAATGAATGCTGTCTGCCAGGTTTGTGCAGAGTAAAGTCTATTTAAATGGAGTAGCTTGTGACAGAAAACTAATGCTAGACAAAATGTGATCACATCCTTTTGATGCCAAGCAGTTCATAGCTATCAACTAAAAATTAAGGAAGACTTGTCTTGGAGCGTCCAGAACAACAGAATTACAAAAGGTAAGCAACTGAGACTTAACTCATTTAAGATGTCACTTTTGTCTACTTGATAACAACCCTGTTAAACTTGCTATAAATGCATTTCAATATAATTAACTTGTTTTGTCCTGTACTTCAGAATTCTGTTTCATGCATCAGTCAACAATGCTGCAACCACCTACACAAAAAGGTAATTAGGCTGATTTTTTTTTTTTAATAACCTGGAATTGAAGTATTGATAACTTAATTTTTTTCTTTTTTAGATACATTAGAAAATGAAATCTAGAGATTCTGTTACTCAGATGAAATACAGAGTTCTTTCTCTATTAAGAGAGAATTGGGGTGAGGAATATCCCAGTTAAATTGACAAGGCAGTTCAGTTGAATTCATAATGGCAAATGAGGAGATCAGGAATCTCTGCAGTTGACAATGTTTAAGTCTGCAGTTCCACACCTGCAGCTTAGGGATCAACTTTGCCTCTTTGAGAGTGTTGGGTTATGACAGCTGTGGTCCTAGACATGCCATGTGAATCCTGTGAGCGATTATCTGACTATGTCTATATTGATACCAAGTGTTGTCTTGGTTTTATTCCTGAGGAATCCTGGGGTACCATTTCTCTGCTCCTCATCTGTTTTTTCAAGTACGATGGATTTTCATTCTTCAGACTTTTCCACTGTTTTGCTGAACAAATTACTTAATCTCCAGTTTTCTCACTGGAGTATGCTGCCTTTCTGTCTTTACTGTGCAGCAGCATGAAAATAAGAACAATTACATCATCAGCTTTTGTTAAGAACTGCTTTTTTAGAATTGCCGGAATGGTCAGGTGTCAGTCCAGTTCTGGGTGGATCTTCTAGTTGATGCTGTTTAATGTTAATGGAAGGAGAGGAGTACAAAAGGTGACATTACTTTTTTTTTTTAATGCTGAGAGTTTGGTTATTTGGGGTTATACTTTCCGGCAGGTTTTGGAAAACTATCTAAGTATTGTTGGTATAACTCATCCAGAGTTGGCAGTTCACTTGCACTTGGGAGTCTCTCAAAGATGGGCTTTGCAACACACAAAGAACAAAACAAAAAGGTGGGGATTGGTGTTAACACAAAAGCTGCAGAGGAGGAGCAACAAGACCATCTGTAGTTCCTGTTCGAACAACTTTTTTCTTTGTGTAGTAGCATTCCTAGAAAAGGTTTCGGAAAGTGGTGGAGGGACAGGAGGACGACAAAGCACTGGAGGGCCATAGTTGGGGCACGCATGGATCATTAGAGAAGGTAGGAAACAGCGTGTTATTTAGAGTTAAGTTTTAAGGTACTGATGTTGTGAGGCTGGCTCCCCCTTCCTCTGGGGTCCCTTCAGGATTACAGGTTCCCGCTCCCTGGGGTGAAGAAGAAGGGCGGACAGAACGGTTCTGATCCAGTTACATGCAGCAGTGTGCATTAAAGATAACTGAAGAACTGTGTTTCCATCAAGGCAATGTCCCCATTTCACATGTTGCCGCGTGTCCGTTGTGCCGTTCCGAGTGAGCAGTAGCCGGTAGCCCTGTTGGTTGCCTGCAGACGCAGGTTTGGGCATCAGCTGGAAAGAAAATCCGCCTGGAGTCCAAAGTCTGCGGGCGTTTACCAAGTAGGTTTTGCGGCTTGTCGTCTTACTCTCCTGGACGGCTTCCGCTGGAGCTGGTGGGAGGTGGGGAAATGAGTCGGGGGGCCGTTGGCTGACCTGCAGGATGGCAATCCACCAAAACGTTTTATTGCTTTTGGGTGTCCTAAATGTTCTTTTGATGGTGGTCCTTTCTGAACTGTACATGCCTGCTTGTTGGGCGAGATAATTTTTGAGGAAATTATTTGACAAAGAAATATTACTGGATTTAAAAGAACTTAAGGGTTTGGGGTGTTTTGGTTTTGGTTTGGGTTTTTTGTTGTTGTTGTTTTCTTTTTTCACAGAGAAGCACACTTCTCCTCAGCCAGTTTTGCAAGCACTGTTTCAAGTCTTACAGGATTCTTAGTATCTACAGTTACCATATGTCAAAGAAATTGCAATATTTAAAAATATAAATTCCTATTAACTTGTGGTGTTTGGGAGTTGTGGGGAAAGGGAATACCATCAAACTTGAATGTGGGCTAATTTAAGAGTGACAGAAAAAAAAAAAAGCTGTTAAGTCACACGTGCTACATTCTCTGCAAAAAGAAATTACGGTTTACATCTGAAAGAGACGATTTAAAGCATTCTCACCCTGTGGAACAAGTGGCTTCAGGTTCCTCTTTCACATCTGAAATAAAAGTAGGCTGAACTTCAGTTCCTAAAATAGTTTACCTCTTTTTCCCTATAGCAGTTCTGCTATTTCCTGGGCAATTCAGTTGCAGCTGAGATTTTGAACACTAGAAACAAGTTGTGGGCACGTGGACATCCTTCTGGGGACGAGTTTAAATGTATGGGGTGGAGGGATGGATGTGACGTGGCTCCTTCCTTGTTAGTGACAAACATATTCAAGGGGTGTACATTTGTTTAAGGCATATCGTTGCATGTATGTCCACATCTCAATTTCTGAGTTATTTTGTGAAGTCCTGTATAATGTGTACATGATAAATTGGTTTTTAGGACTTTGTTTTAGATTTGTATGTTAACAGCTGTATTTACTTGCTATTTTCTCTTTACAAAACATTTTTTCTTAAGTTGGATGCTTTTGTATGAACAACACAAAAAGCAAGCTTGCCTACCAGAGCCAAAAATTAATGTACTGGGAAATAACTTCAGACACAAGATCAGTGTGGCTGTATCAAATTCAACTGGTAGTTCTTGGATCTGGATGGATCGATGGGCTGAGGTCAACTGTAT